GGGGAGCGGATGCTTTCATGCCAGAGGCTGGGTGGGGTGTGGGTCGCGTACCACCAACGGCCGCGTGCTGTGGGTGTGGCAGGGGGAGTTGTCAGGTCCGTGCTAGGATCCGATTTGCAAGGGCGCAGCTGCAGGGCTGTTTGTGCGTGCGCGTGCTGCTCAACGCTGTGCCTGCATGTCATCCTCCCACAGGTCAAGTACATCGACCAGCACGTCCCAGCTGTGGTCACAGTGTGATCTGAGATCTGCAGCTTGATCTGAGATTTGCGGCTTGACATGAGGTCTGGGCTTGATGTGGGAAGGGACCAGGGGGTTGAGATGTTTGTGTAGGAGGGGTAGCGGCCGCGCTTGCGAGCGGCTGCTTTACCACTTTGAAGGGAGGGAGCGGTTGAGAAGGCGTGGACCAACCGCCGAGCCGCTGCGCCCAATCGGAGTGCACGGCATGCTTGAGATTGGAAGCCGCGACGCGGTCTCAATTCGGCGCCCCCGCCCCGGCAGCGTGGCAATTGTCAGCCTGCCAGAGGACGCACATCGTGCCGTTGTGTTTGGACGCCCCGGTTTGCCTCGTCGTTTCAGGGTCCGCCGGGCCGAGGCCGGCGCGCACAGCGGCGGCGCCGGGCGGCGCTGCTGAAACCACCACATTTTGGCTGCTTTGCTATCACAAATCGATGAGTCGGAGGGTCCGAGCCATGCTTTTTTGAGCGTACACCTGAGCTCCTCTCGCGCCGCCGCTGTAGGCCCGCGCCGCCCACTTGCGCAGCAGCCCCGCGATCCCGCCTGGATGGAGCCCGCACCAGTTTCGAGCCCGTAGCCCGCTCGCCCGCATGGCTCGCTGCTGCTTTGCGTGCTTTGCACAGGCACGCGCGCGCGCGCGCCCCTGATTGCGGGTCCTTTACCGCGTGCGCCAGGGCGGTGGCCTGCGACCTCACTCGCGGGGAGCGAGGCCGGCGCAATCCTCATGCGGCGCTGCGCCGCCTTCCCGCGACCCGCTTGCGCCGGCCACCACAGCTGCTGCTGCCCTAGCCTGCCGCCCCCGCACAACTCAATGCCTGAATTCAAGCCCCAGCCGAACTTTTGGCTGCCATTGGCCAGTTGCGCATCATTCCTGCGCGCCGCAGCTCGGATTCTGCGCGTGAGAGCGCGCCGCGCCGTCTTCACTTGTGACACGCGTGATTCGCTGCTCCACCCTGCATTAGCGCGCCGATTTCTACTGCATGCTGCGTACGCTTTGCGCGTGAGAACACACATAGGTGTGCAGCGCTGGTAACGATAACCGTTGTAGTAAGCAGGGCAGCAGCAGCAGCAGCAGCAGCAGCAGCAGCAGCAGCAGCAGCAGCAGCAGCAGCAGCAGCAGCAGCCTGTGGATCAGTCTGAGAGGCTGAGCCGACAACACCGATGTTGATCCGTTGCGAAGTGGTAGAACGAGATAATGTTACTTTAGTGGGGTGCAGCTGCACGTGCAGCTGCATCCACGCCATGACTGGGATGGGCGGGAGCGTGGCTGCCCACAGAGGCGTCGGGTTATCTGCCTGCATATGCGGCGCCCTTCGGTGGCGGACATACGGTCGAAACGTTTCAAAGGGCTCAGGGTTCCAGCGCGCAATCTGGCAAACCCCAAGAGCTGGACCACGGGCCCGCCCGGCTGGATGGGCGGGGTGGGCACCGAGCTTAATACAATACGCGCTGCGAAGCACTGGGGAACGGAGGAGGCAAACAGGGAGAAAAGCAAGCAAAAAAGGGCCGCCGCGGCCTGCATGGGACGTCGCTGAGCGGGCTGCAGAAACACCTGCTCTAAGGTCACGTGAAGGCGCACGCTGCGCCGCACGGCGGAAGGGCGCTGGGGGTTGGCCCCCCCGCCCTCTCGGCGCACTCGCCGGGCGCCGTGCAGTGCAGCGTCGCGCGGTTATGTCATCATCTGTCGTCGTCTGTCGTCCGTCACTGTTGCACACGCGGCCGCATCACCACAACCACTTGAATACGGGCAGCCGCCCTCGCCAACGCTGCAACCGCCTGCATGCAAGTCGCCCCTCTGCCACGCCGCCGCGGCCCCTGCGCCGCCGGGCGGCGCGGGGTGCCGCAGCGGTGGTAGCCGGGACTCACCGTCAGCAAAAGGAAGCTATGCCGAAAATACCAGAGTGCACCAGCCACGCCCTAACCAAGAGCTCTCTGCGCGTGGGCCGAGCACCCGCACCCGGTTAGCACATGGGGGCGGCCGCCGCCGGCTCAATGCAGCCGCCACCAGCAAAGGGCAACGTTCCCCTCCACCACCTCGCGCAGGGGCGGGTGGATGGCAGCCCGGGCCGCTGCGGGCTACCAAGCCGCGACGCCGGCCGCCTCCTGCGAACCACGCTGCTCGCCGCCAGCCGGCGCCGCCGCGCCCGCGTCGGCCCTGAATATGCTGGCGTTCTCTGTCCCCGCGAAAAACTCCTGGCGGCACACGCAAAAGGGGGGCGTGGGGGTGCAGGGACGCGTGGCAGGGGTGAGCAGGCTGTCCTACAGCAGCTACCTGTCAAGAGACGCCAAGGGGCGGCCCACGGGCCTCCCTTTGTTAGGCGCGCGCGCGGGCACGCATCTAATTTGTGCCTGAGCGCATTGAGGGCCCCTGTCGCCACCTCGCACACGCGTGGCCCGGTGCACTGACCCGCACACGCACCCGCCCACCCAGGCAAACACACACGCGCACACACACATATTCTCTCACATACACATACATGCACATCAGCCCACACACCTGCACACATACAAACATGCAAGCACACACACACACACACACACACACGCGCACACACACGCACACACACATGTATGGCCGTGGCTGCCACTCACCTGCATGGAGCCTAGCTGCTCCCCCTCATTGTCGAACCACACCTCCGGGTCAATGTCCGCGTGCCACTTCCCGCTCCCCAGCGCGCACCCCAGGCTTCCCGGGCTCGGCGCGCAGCCCAGGCCGCCGCCGGGGCTGTTCAAGCCGGGTATGAAGAGCGGCGAGTGGAGCCCCAGGCCGAAGTTCGGGGTGGCGCAGCCGGTGGCGCCTGAGGGGTGAGGGGGAGCCGGGCGGGCGCGGTCAGCGCGACGGACGGCCCCGTTCAACGCAGCGAGTTGAGCGGCTCAAATCCATGCCTCGTGGGATGCGGCGCAAGGCCTGGCACGTCGTGGTTTGCTCAAACAGGGCGTCCTGATAGAGTCGGCGCGCCCCTCTCACCGGCCGCGGCGCCCTCCTCTGGTTTCAACGCCATCGACAGCACCGGCGACGCGCCCCCTGGCAAACCGAGCAGGCCGCCCATGCTGCCGCTGCCGCCGAGGGCCCTGGCCAGCAGCGCCGACAGCGGCGACGGCTGCGCCGCGGCGGCGCCGCCCGGGCCGCCGGCGCCGGGCTCCGGCGGGA